CCTATTATAAACCCTATAAAATGTTTTTTGTCTCTTCTTTCTGTCTCCTTTTTGTCTCTCTTTCTGTCTCCTTTTTGTCTCTCTTCTGTCTCCTTTTTCTCTATCTGTCTCCTTTTGTCTCTCTCTAATAGCCAATCCTTAATATATTTACTAAACAACACCACCAAAGTTTTTGCTGCTGCTGCTGCTGCTGCTGCTGCTGCACCAGCACTGGTTGCAGCAGCAGCAGCAGTTGCTGCAGCAACAGCAGCAGCAGCAGTTGCAGCAGCAACAACAGCATTATGTGCTATTGAAGCAACAGCACCAGCTGCTGTCGCAGCAGCAACAGCAGCAGCAGCTGCAGCAGCTGCAGCAGCTGCTGCAGCTGCAGCACCTGGTGCAGTTGCATCAACAGCTGCTGCTGCAACATCAGCATCACCTGCAGAAGCAGCAGCAGCAGCAGCAGCAGCTGCTGCTGCTGCTGCTGCTGCTGCTGCTGCTGCTGCTGCTAGTTTATTCTGTTTGTCTCCGCTCACGGCGCAGCCGCCCCCGATAGAATTTGAAGCCAGAAGACCCCCACACGCCATCATACACTACACCTTTCTCCTTTGCTGCTGCTGCTGCTGCTGCTGCTGCTGCTGCTGCTGGTGCTGCTGCTGCTGGTGGTGGTCGGGGGGGGAGTGGGGGTGTTGCTGCAGCACGCGGTGTTGCTGTTGCTGCAGCAGGGGATGATTTCATTGCAGTTGCTGCTGCTGCTGCATCTGCTGCTGCTGCATCTGCTGCTGCTGCATCTGCTGCTGCTGCATCTGCTGCTGCTGCTGCTGCATCTGCTGCTGTTGGTGCACCACCTGCGGCAGCAGCAGCAGCAGCAGCAGCAGCAGCAGCAGTTCTCGCGCCGTGTCTAGAGACCCCGGGTGTGGTGAGGAAGTAATCCCAGCCATCGCTGCTGCTGAAAGGAGACAGTTGCTGCTGCCCCTTGCTGCTGTCTCCTTCTGCTGCTGCTGCTGCTGCTGTAAGGAGACTCATAACCGAAGCTCTTCTGTCTCTGCTGCTGCTGCTGCTGCTGCTGCCAGGCAGCTCCATGAAACGCTCCACACCCCCCAATTCAGCTGCAGCAGCAGCAACACACCAGCAGCAGCAGCAGCAGCAGCAGCAGCAGAACAGCAGCAGCAGCAGCAGCAGCAAACGAACAAGGGTCATCAATAACAGTGTTTAAGCAGCAGCAGCAGACACAAACCAAGAGCAGCAAAACAAGTACACGTTGCATGCACCTAGCAGCAGCAGCAGCAGCAGCAACACTAGCAACAGTAGCATCCGCAGCAGCAGCAGCAGCAGCAGCAGCA